CGAAACTCCCTCCAAATGATTTACCTCCCAGGAGTTGCTGCGGCAGTGTGTTCAGAGAGCCTGGGAGAGGGGACACTGCCAGGGGAGGACTCTGCTACTGGCAAAACAGCGGCTGCAGGTTCTGGTCTAGCACCGTTTTCACTCCATTCACAGTAATAAAACCAAACGGAGACACACAGAGAAAGAGGTTTTTAATCCACGTTGAAATGGTATGCTGAACAGGAGACACTGTGCATGAAAGTGTTAGTAAATTGAAGAAGGGGAAAAAAAAAAAGTGGAGTTTACAGCAAAATACGAATAGGGGGATAAAATGAGGCACAATACACTTAGGAAGTGTTACGCTTTTAGTGAAGGTTGAGAAGTGTCCTGCTGCTTATAAACTCAGAAGGCCAAGTAGTATTTTACATTTATAAAGATGGAACACATATATTTAGTATTACATTATGAGATGGAAAACTTTTAGGAAACACTGGAAAAGAAACAGACACAAGTGCCAGTGGGATTCACTCCCAAAGTTTTATACACTTTTTGCTGCATCTTTTTAGGGTGTTAGTTTTTTGAAGGTTAGACTATGTATTTCTCAATATTTTTTCCATATACTTTTTTTCAGTTGTGATAGGAAAAAAAAAAAATCTAGAAAATGTTGTATTAAAGCCCTCTATTTGAAGAAAAGTACCTGCCAGACATCTCACTGTGATACACAAAAATAAAAGTGAACTACAAGGTAGAGGGAAATCACAGCTACAAGTTATGAGCAGACTAAATTAGCCAAAGGGGTAGTCATTGCTACCTTTTTCTTTTTAATATGTATTAACATGCAGAATTAAGTATCTTAATAAAGTAAAGGAGCCTTAAGTGCTGAAAATTACTGAACAGACTTAGGAATGAGCAGGGAGCAGACATCGCAGGTGGTAAAGGTGTGGATGGAAATTCTGGTACAGGTGGGATCTCCAGTGTCTGGGTAGCTAAGGAGTTTTTATTCAGATTAGTACAGCTCCTATTCCATTAGGTGGATCTGCAGGTACGATTTACAGATCATGGCGGGGGGGGGGGGGGGGAAAAAACAGAATAAATACATGATTTATGACAGGTTGTTTCAGGACTGACCAAGAGTGGGACAAATTTTCCAGTGGCTATGGATTAGCTAAACTACCAATCTGGAAAATCTAGACACATCTTCACTCAGGACAATGAACTGACTCTACAACTTAAAACCAAAACCAAATCCTGTACCTGGTTGCTCAAAAGGAGGTGGTTAAAAGTGAACATTAAAACATACTTGGAAATAGGGCGCTCCAGAGTTAGAACTAATCAGTTACCAAAACACATAAATAAACTTTACACAAAGGCTAGACTTTGCCTTTCTAAGATTTAAGTAACTGGCTTAAGAGTTGCCATTTAAACATTTCAGTGAGGGCTTTATTTCCTTCCAGCTGCTGAAAAGAAAAATCTATTTTATCCACACAAAAATCCCTAGTGGGTTACAGTTTAGGGATAAACAATAAAAAATCCACGGGACATTTGTCTTGGGCAATGCCTCAAAAGTTGAATATTATTAATTTGGAATATATATCCATATTACTGATGGAAGAGAAGTTTCTATGCCATTGTTTGTCATATTCATCCTTCTAGGTGATGTCTTACATGTATTTTTTCAAAAATCAGATGTAAGCACAATCAGATGATTGCCATGTTATCCACGTGCAAATGGAAAAGCAGTCCATTGTTTTGGAAGCAGTAACAAAGTCCAAAATTTAACATGAACAAGTGTTGTGCAATGGGGATACTGGGCAAAGAGAGGCATCTTTAAAGCAGTAAATGAAATTTATTTCACACATTCATAAAACATTTTTGAAACTAGTGATTTATTACTATATTTATAGGAAATAATTTTGGTAGCCTTTCTTGAACTATTCTCATATCCTCAATGGATACTCTATGACTATCTATGTTTAATTTTCATCAAAACAGAAGCTTCTATACTTTGGATTATTTAGAGAGGCCTTTTTCTTCCATTTCTCACTAAAGCAACTCACCCTTCAAAGGGATAAGAGCTGGTAAGATAGCTAAACATAACAGTAAATTAAATACCAACGTGAAGACATTCTCATTACCTAGGGACATCGCCAAAACCTAAAAATACTTGAAGGTGAAACCATTCTGCCCTTGTGAAGAAAACTTTACAGAGAGTCTAAGTGGTAACCTTTCATAGTTTTCATTGCACTAATGTCCTTTGAAACTCCCACCTTCCTTTCCGTTCATGAAAAAGTCTTTAAACCCAGCAACACAATTTTAATACAGTACTTCACATTCCTCCTTGAACAGCCAGTATTCTATCAAATTATTATATTGTGGTGTATGTGCACTCAGTAACACGCTTGGGTTTAGTAACACAGTACTCACTACCGAGTAACACATTGAGGGGGCAGGGGGGAATCAAACTGATTGGCACTTCCATCAAAACAGTCTTTAGTGAAATTATTACAGTGAGTATTTTCCCCTACTGTCCCTACAGAGTTAACCCAAAAGGTGTGTAAGACGTGATATGCCTTGGTCCATCATTACCGGTGCAAATCTATTGTACTTTATGCTGTGCATTGTTAGGCATCCACATTGGTGATTGTTAGTGTTGGATAACTTGGCTATTACCTGAAGTCTCCATTTTCTGTTTGGCTTTTCCTAGAGATAAAATGACAAGTATTGTAAGCTACTGCTGTACTGTATGGCCGTATAAACCATCTGAAAAGGAAACACAAGCTCACAATGCCTCCAAAGGTCTCCATTCCTTTCAGTTTTCCAAGTTGTGCAATGAAAAAAGGCCAACCCCC